GTCCGCACACCTCAGTGAGAGGTCCACACACCGCGGGGAGAAGTCCGCACACCTCAGTGAGAAGTCCTCACACCGCGGGGAGAAGTCCGCACACCTCAGTGAGAAGTCCGCACACCTCAGTGAGAAGGCCGCACACCTCAGTGAGAGGCCAGCACACCGCAGTGAGAGGCCAGCACACCGCAGGGAGAAGTCCGCACACCTCAGTAAGAAGGCCGCACACCTCAGTGAGAGGCCAGCACACTGCAGTGAGAAGTCCGCACACCGCGGGGAGAAGTCTGTACACCTCAGTGAGAGGTCTGCACACCACAGTGAGAAGGCCGCACTCCATAGTGACAAGTCCTCACACTGCGGGGAGAAGTCCGTACACCTCAGTGAGAGGTCTGCACACCACAGTGAGAGGTCCGCACACCACAGTGAGAGGTCCGCACACCGCGGGGAGAAGTCCGCACGCCTCAGTGAGAATTCCACACACCAGGGAGAAGTCCACACGCCGCAGGGGGATGTCCGCACACCGCAACTAAAAAGTAGCCAGCACTCACCACAACCAGAGAAAAGCCCAAATAGCAACAAACACCCAGTACAAAATTAAATTAATAATGAATTAATTAAAAATAAAATTTAAATTAAATAAATAAAATTATTTTTTCAATTTTTTTAGAAAGAAAGGAAAGAGGAAGGGATGTAAGACCTTTTTTTTTTTTTTTTAGTGTACAGGTCTTCTATTCCTATGACTGTGTGTGGGCTCAGTCGCTTCAGTCGTGTCTCTGCAATGCTATGGACTGTAGGCCGCCAGGCTCCTCTGTCCATGGGGATTCTTCAGGCAAGAATACTGGTGTGGATTGCAATGCCGTCCTCCAGGGGACCTTCCCTATCCAGGACTGAACCTGAATCTCCTGCATCTCTTGCATTGCAGGTGGATTCTTTATCCACTGAGCTACCTGGGAGCCCTCTATTCCTATAGGAACATAAAATACCCTTTTGTTGTAGGTGAAAAGTGAAAGTGACGTCGCTCAGTCTTGTCCGACTCTTTGCGACCCCATGGAGTGTAGCCTGTCAGGCTCCTCCGTCCATGGTATTTTCCAGGCAAGAGTACTGGAGTGAGGTGCTATTTCATTCTCCGGGAGATCGTCCCAACCCAGGTTTCCCACATTACAGGCAGATGTTTTACCATCGGAGCCACTGGGGAAGTAAACTATATTAAATCCAGGTTTCCCAAATTGAAAAACAAAAAAAACAAACAAAAAAAAAACCAACTTAGTGAAGGTAGCTGTCTCCCTGAGTATCTGGGCAGCTTGTGTAGTGTGACTTTGATCTCCGCTCTCAGCCACGCAGAGCTGGGGACGACCTTCCCTAGAAGTGGAGCACAGTACTATTTCCTCAAAAGATCTCTTGGATCCTCTGTTACTTTCCTTGGTTATTGGATCAAACTTTTGTTTAGCCCTTAAGAATGGCTGCTCAAACCTTATTACCATCTGGCTATATACTCCAGTGTCTGTGACAGGGTCTAGGTGTCCATGGAGCACAGATAGGGAAGCAGTGAAAAGTATAGCAACAGAAGATGGGGACAAAAATAATTTTGTAAAGTTATTTTACTGTTTCCTCATGTGAGCAAGGTTTCTCATTGATGGTAACCAGTAAGTACTTGAAGAGATTACCATTAAAAGTTTTGAATTAAAATGTTAAGTGTGTGTGCTTTGTCACTCACTTGTGTCCAACTCTTTGAGACCCTTTGGACTGTAGCCTTCCAGGCCCCTCTGTTCATGGGATTTCCCAGGCAAGAATACTGGAGTGGGTTGCCATTTTCTTCTCCAGAGGATCTTCCCAACCCAGGGATCGAACCCACGTCTCATNCTGTCACTGTTTCCACTGTTTCCCCATCTATTTGCCATGAAGTGATGGGACCAGATGCCATGATCTTAGTTTTCTGAATGTTAAGTTTTAAGCCAGTTTTTTTCACTCCCCTCTTCCACTTTCATCAAGAGGTTCTTTAGTTGAAATCATATGCATTTTAGAATAATTTTGTCAAGTTCCATAAAAGATTCAGTTGGGACTCTCATAATGGAATTTTATTTGAAGTGTATTTAGGGAAAATTGACACCTTTATTGTAGTGATTAAAGGTTTCTCTTGGTTAAACTTTTTGAGGGAGCAGGGGGAAGCTTTTCCCTAAGCTTCAGTTTCTTACACAAACCTTTGCATACTTCCTGTTAGATTTATTTCACAGCTTACAATTTTAGTTGCTATGTTGATTTAGAAATCCAAGAAGATTATATCTTATGCA